AAAAATTTCAAAACAAGACATTTTCTCTCTTTTAAGGCAAACCGATAACATCCCATACAAACCTCTATAAATATAAAACGTTGCGCAACACGGTTAGAGTCACGTCCGCTTTTCTAGTAGTGAGCTTGGGTTGCCTGTGAGCTAACTAGAGAAACTACCTAACTTGGGAAGGACACAAGCACACGACACAAAGTACATTAAAATTTTTCCTATATGTCCGCCCAACTGTTTCAAATCTAGATCTAGTGCCATCAGTTTACAAGGTAAGCTTCACCCATGAACTAGAGATGATTAGGCTGCCAGCAGTCTGTTCCGTTCAATCTTGTTTTCATTATTCTTTTCTTTTTTCTTTTTCATTTTTTTATTACTTCTTCCTAGCGATATGGAGCGACAGCTCTAGATGAGAAAAGATTTAGTAAATATACAAACATACCGTTTCTTTTTCAGTAGATAGGAGATAAATACGCAGGCGAGGCCTAATCCGCCAATTATTCCAAAGATAATAGCTACCACCTTGAGCTTATTATAAGTAGATGAGCTTGGATCAGGTTTCTTGGTAACTGAAAATCAAAGAATTCATGTTTAAGGGAAATCGGCGAGGATAGGGATACTAGAACCAGGTCCTATATCTCACCTCTCTAGAAAACCCGTCACGTTGATGCACACTTGGATAACACGCCAGGGCTCGACACTAACTTTTCTCCTTACTATCCCAGTGGCTAGTGACGTCATAGATGTTACGAGAATTTCAGTTTGTTTACTAGCCTAACTGGCTAATCGAAATCGAAAACAACTAGCCAAAACTGAATTTCTACTAGTCTGTGGCTAGTGGGCTACCGTTAGTGTCGAGTCCTGCAGACTACTAAATAAATTTGAAAACTGTTGAAGACTAAGATATATATCACAGGATTTCTTAATTTTACTTACTCGCATACTTCCTTACAAACATCAAGCAATTCCAGTTATCCCTGGCCCTTTTTTCGAACTTTTGAATACAAATTCTGACCGTAACAGTGACTTAGTAAACCTATTCTTTGACCATTGTAGACGAGCGACTGAAACATACGCTTCACTACTGAAGGTAAAAACTGGTAAGCGCAATCTCCGTGCCTTTTGTAATCATCTTAATGCATAATTTTTTTTTTTTTATAATTAAAACAAACAAACAAAAAACAACAACAACCTAACGTAAGAATGGAATGTATACATCACTTTCTTCACTCAAGTGGCTAACTTGTACTTGTAGCACTCACATACAATATCGACGGCACCAGTTTTAACCCAGTCGATGCCTGAGTGAATAATTTTCGCACTTCGTTTTCTGCAAAACTTTGTTTTTGTAAATGCAGTTGACATATGTGAATAACGATTTGTTTCCCAAATAGTACCAAACTATAAGGGGTATCGAATGGTCTTTGCGAGCATTTTCGAGCATTCGAGCAGTGTATTTATTTTTGCAAGCACGAGCAGTTGACAAATTTTTCTTGCGAGCAGCGAGCACTTTGAAAAAATACAGGTCACGAGCAGCGAACCTTTCGAGTAATTCATTCGTATATTTTCCGCAAGCCGGAATCTCTCTTTTATTAATAGGATACATTGTTTTGCGCCTGGTAATAGCTTATAATCTGGCTGACACTTCAAAAACAGAATAATGGGTGCAAAGCTAGGGCCGTTCAACCAGTCCCAGCATCTAAGAGTCTAACTTTTGGTCGAGCCATCGAGGGTCGAGGGTCTTATGTCGAGGTCGAGGGTATTTAGTCGAGGGTCCCTTTTTTTGTTTTTCTTTTTCGCAGCCCATGTTCCTAGTCGAGGGTCACTTTGTGAGACCGGATATTGACGTTGTTACAAAATCAAGGCAAACTTGTTCTGTTAAAATAAATCAGACTTCAATTCAAATGTGATCTTGAACGTCACGTCCACGTCCGTGGTGGTTTTGTCTAAATTTTCAGGCAGACCGCCTCCATAAGAGTAATTACACTTATCAATACAAATGTGGTATCGTCAAGGCATATAAAAAGAGATAAGGCCTTGCTTCCGGTTCGTGTTAAGGGGTGAGGGCGAGCGAAGTACAAAAAAAAAAAATATATTCGCGAAAGGGAAAATTGAATGAAAAAAAATCCTTGCACGCCAATTAACCCTGAAACATATCCATGCTATCGCCAAAAAAATTCATACGAGAAATGATAACGTTTAAAATTCCCGCATTTCGAAATCTCCCCACTCCTCCTCTCCC